GGGCTAATTTCAGTTATTGCTTCACTTATTTATTGAGATATCTCAACTTTGTCAATAATCATTTCTGCATACTAAATTTATCTGACAGTCTCTTGCTTTTTGCTCCTAATATACTCAATCTCTAAGCTCTTATCAGTTTCCTGTTCATATCGTCTAGTTTCTAATGCAGAACAACAGTAGATCCATTCACGAACAATCCATCACAAACATAGAAGCGCTGAATGACGAACAATTAACTATCACAGAAGAACCTATTCAGCTGAGGGAATTTAAAGATGACCTTCCAGAGAAGTCAAAAGAACACGATAGTGTGGTCCTTTGTAAGTTCACACAGGAGGACATGGTGTCTCCTGATGAATCTTCTGATGAAGGCTGGCAAGAAGCAACCTCAAAAGGGCGTTCTGGACAAGTACGAAGAAACATGGGCCCCAAAAGACCAGATGTTCATAAATTAACGTTGAGTAACTCACAGATAGCAAGCTCAACCAGTGCTAGTTTTAAGATGAAAAGTTTGTCACCAGCAGCAAAAATGGCACTCAGAACTTCTCCAACTGATCCTTCTTATGCGGGAAACACTCGAAAGGACGGAAGTTTGACTAGTGGAGAAGATGCAAATAGATCACAGATTAAGACTGTTGATGCAGATGCTTTGTCAGAACAAAGTACAAAAGCCTCTGGCTCTGGCAGGCTTGCGATGGTTGCATCCAAATTTGTATCTTACAAAGAGGTAGCAATCTCACCTCCTGGAACAGTTTTGAGGTCAACATTGGAGCAAGCAGAAGAAAAGGAGATGGACAACTCGAAGGAAAACCCCTGTTTGCTAGAGATATCAGAGGAAGAAGTAAAACTAACAGAAGCCACTTCTCATTCAGAAACATCGAGTAATGATATTGAAAAAGAGGCACATTCGAGTGGCGTAGATACATCAAATATTACTGAAAAAGGTGATTCTGCTACATTGCAAGACTTGGCACCATCTAAGATAGCCACAACTAATGGAAGCAAACTTTCAGCTTCAGCTCCTCCATTCAATCCGGGATCACTTTTATCTATGTCTCATCCATACAACTCGGTTGCTATAAGAGGATCGTATGACATGAGAGTTTCTAATCAGACAACACCCCAACCATTGAGAATCCTCCCTCAGTCTGTTGATTCCAGAGTACCATGTGGTCCAAGATCAACACTGTACTACAAATCTGGTCATTCTTTCCGTAAGAAACATTTCTATTCAAACTCCCAGAAGGCATTTACAAGCAGCAGTAATCCAGGTAGTAGCATCATGAACCCTCACGCTGCTGAGTTTGTGCCTGGTAAAGCTTTGGAACAACAAGATCATTCCGATGGTAGCCCAGAGGCACAAATTCCTGGAACAGAACAGAAAGAGCAACTGCAACCAGTAATGACTGCAAATGACAAAACCACTGTAGTTCTTTCAGAAGAGAGATCAGAAATCGAGGAAGTTTCTGATGAAGGAAAGAACAAGATCAGTAAGGGGAAAGACACCATACAAACTTCGCAGAGGACCGAGCTTGCGAGACAAATCCTACTCAGCTTCATTGTTAGATCGGTCAAAGACAGTTTGAGCACCACAGTTGAAGCTCAGGGTACTCTTGACTCACCAACTCAAACTCAGACTCGAACAAATGAAGGGAACACCAGTAACATAGCCAATACAAAGTATGGTCATCAAGCAAATGATCATGGATTATCGAAGCATGCAGACAAGAACAAGGACACTGAAGGATTCACAGTGGTCTCGAAAAGAAGAAGAAACAAACAGCAGTTGGCAAATGCAGTCAGTGGTTTGTGCACTCAACAATCCATCTGCACATAAATCAGCATCCGTAAAAAAGTCTTAAAGCATTTTAGAATCAATCTGAAGACTTAATGGTCTGTTGATACCAAGTTTTTGGTATCAAGATTGTCTATGGGAGTTCTGCAGAGAAGTGAGAGACAGGGAACTCTACACCTCATGGTGACCAATCCATTATGAAGTTCACTGAATCAGAAGGAGGATCTCTTTGAAGAGATTTGGAAGTACTCAAGCTTTCCAACAAATTTTACCGAAGTTGCTTGTTAGAACCTGTCTCTACCCTTCAAATTCAATTGCATGAAAGGTAATGGAATTCTTGTCACGGTTCAGATTGCAGAATAATTCTACAAAATACAGTCAGTGAAACGGCAATAGCAATACAATCTTCCTTCTGAAGTGATTGCCATGTACCAGATTTTTGACTTGAATGAGACTTATTTTAGAGTCACAAGAGTTAAGATTAGACAAGTATTAAACCATTACATGAATATCATTGTGGCTTTCATGGCAAACAATCTTGACATAAAATTACCTTATGTGAAATTTATGTGGCTGTACTATTCCTCGGGACATAGAAATTGTGACATTGAAATTTAGAACCGAGAGGAGATTCAAGTTTGAGTTGGCTTATAAGGTTAGATGATCCTCACTGCTTTTATGAACAGATAACCACAATTAACAACATCAAATATCAATAGAGGAATAAACCATGAACGATTATTACTTTGCTTATGCATTTCCTCATACCTTATCGATAAAAAAAAACAAAAGAACAAAAACTTCTGCAAAATCAAATTAGCCTTTTCATCACGAAACTCACTGATAAGATTGAAGACCTTAATCTAGTATCCACATTTCATGTCCCAGACAGCAAAAATTATGCTCTTTTTGTTTTTTTTTACATGCTCAAATATGCAATAACATGATCAATTCTCAAACATATATTTCATACAAAATTTTAAGGAGACTTACCGACAGTTTAAAGACTGCCTAGTTAACATGTCTAATTTTATATCTCAATCATTAGCATCGAGTGTATATGAACTTGATGTATACTTATGGAGTGATTTTTTTTGGAATATGAAAAAAATCATGAGGATGAACAACATTTAAGTACCACTGAAAATTCAAGCTCTAGATTAATGTCAAAATCAGTGTTTTAAAAAACGTTAGGCGTCAAAAAACGTTAAAGTCCAAAAACGTCCGAGACACTAGACGCTCGCCCGAACGAAATGAGACGTTAAAATATAAAAATATATAATATAATTATTTAAAATTTTAAATAAAAATTATTTTAAATAATAAATATAATTATTTAAGGTTAGATGATTCCCGCTGTTTTTATGAACAAATAACCATAATTAACAACAGCAAACATCAATAGAGGAACAAACCATGAAAGATTATTACTTTGCTGATGCATTTTCTCGTACCTTATCGATAAAAAAAAACAAAAGAACAAAAACTTCTGCAAAATCAAATTAGCCTTTTAAACTCACTGATAAACTCACTGATAAGATTGAAGACCTTAATCTAGTATCCACATTTCATGTCCCAGACAGCAAAAATTATGCTCTTTTTGTTTTTTCTTACATGCTCAAATATGCAATAACATGATCAATTCTCAAACATATATTTCATACAAATTTTTAAGGAGACTTACCGACAGTTTAAAGACTGCCTAGTTAACATGTCTAATTTTATATCTCAATCATTAGCATCGAGTGCATATGAACTTGATGTATACTTATGGAGTGATTTTTTTTGGAATATGAAAAAAATCATGAGGATGAACAACATTTAAGTACCACTGAAAATTCAAGCTCTAGATTAATGTCAAAATTAGTGTTTTAAAAAACGTTAGGCGTCAAAAAATGTTAAAGTCCAAAAACGCCCGAGACACTAGACGCTCGTCCGAACGAAATGAGACATTAAAATATAAAAATATATAATATAATTATTTAAAATTTTAAATAAAATTATTTTAAATAATAAATATAATTATTTAAGGTTAGATGATTCCCGCTGTTTTTATGAACAGATAACCATAATTAACAACAGCAAACATCAATAGAGGAACAAACCATGAACGATTATTACTTCACTGATGCATTTCCTCGTACCTTATCGATAAAAAAAAACAAAAGAACAAAAACTTCTGCAAAATCAAATTTGCCTTTTTAACTCACTGATAAGATTGAAGACCTTAATCTAGTATCCACATTTCATGTCCCAGACAGCAAAAATTGTGCTATTTTTGTTTTTTTTTAACATGCTCAAATATGCAATAACATGATCAATTCTCAAACATATATTTCATACAAATTTTTAAGGAGACTTACCGACAGTTTAAAGACTGCCTAGTTAATATGTCTAATTTTATATCTCAATCATTAGCATCGAGTGCACATGAACTTGATGTATACTTATGGAGTGAATTTTTTTGGAATATGAAAAAAATCATGAGGATGAACAATATTTAAGTACCATTTAAAATTGAAGCTCTAGATTAATGTCAAAATCAGTGTTTTAAAAAACGTTAGGTGTCAAAAAAACGTTAAAGTCTAAAAACGTCCGAGACACTAGACGCTCGTCCGAGCGAAACGAGACATTAAAATATAAAAATATATAATACAATTAATAAATATAATTATTTAAAATTTTAAATAAAAATTAATTTAAATAATAAATATAATTATTTAAGGTTAGATGATTCTTGCTGTTTTTATGAACAGATAACCACAATTAACAACACCAAACATCAATAGAAGAACAAACCATGAACGATTATTACTTTGCTGATACATTTCCTCAGACCTTATGGATAAAAAAATACAAAAGAAAAAAAACTTCTGCAAAATCAAATTAGCCTTTTCATCACGAAACTCACTGATAAGATTAAAGACCTTATTCTAGTATCCACATTTCATGTCCCAGACAGCAAAAATTATGCTCTTTTTGTTTTTTTTACATGCTCAAATATGTAATAACATGATCAATTCTCAAACATATATTTCATACAAATTTTTAAGGAGACTTAACGACGGTTTAACGCACTGCCTAGTTAACATGTCTAATTTTAAATCTCAATCATTAGCATCTGAGTGCATATGAACTTGATGTGTACATATGGAGTGAATTTTTATGGAATATGAAAAAACCATGAGGATGAACAACACTTAAGTATCACTGAAAATTCAAGCTCTAGATTAGTGCCAAAACTGAAATGGTGATTGTTCCAAGACTCCCCAAACTCTCTCATAACAAAGACATGAAACACTATTGATAAAGTCCCAATCAGTTGAATATGAATAAAGTGGACCTAACTTTTTAAGACGCCCAAACAGTTTCAAAGTCAAATAAAAGTCAAAAGTCGATTGCCAAGGTTTGCTTTGAGCAGAAATGGAGCCATTGACATCTGTTACTCGGAGTTCATCCTCAGGTGCTTCTTTTCATATCATGATACACACAAGCATCTGCGGCAGACTTCATCTGAAATAAGCAAAAGCATAATTTCAGTGTATAGATAAACATTTTTGCATCTCAGGGAAACATCTACTAGTTGAGGATCACCAAGGAAAACACTTTGGGACCTCCAGAAAGAAAAGTGTCACTTATATGTGAATTTGCAGAGTTGTTCATTGTGCAACAGATACTTAAGAATATTAGCAAGCATACAAAATGTTTGAACATGCCATATCTGAAAAAAATGCAATAGCTCATTTGATCATAAAGTGACACTGATGAACTGCTAGGCTAACATAACATGGAAACTTGGCATCAAGACTTGTGCAAGCTTACAGTATTAACAAGTGCTAGTCCCCGTTTATCAAAATCTAATGATATCAATGATGAGTCTGATAGAAAAGTTTTACTCAGATTGTATGTCGCAATGTAACGTCCTCAGTGGTTTTTTACCACGTGCTTGTTCCTAGGATTAAAAGTTATATTATGACCAATAAGAGTTCTACAACTGTACAAAGACACATCTGCAAGATTTTAGAAAGCAAAGATGTGTGGAGTACTCAATTTTATTCAACAAGTTATCACTTAATGCAACAAAAGAACTAATTTCACTGCCCTAAATATATGACAGGCATTAGACAATTCATAAGAATAAAATAACAAAAGGTCACCTGGATGACGTTCACCACTTGCTTAATTGCACATCCAATGGAAGCTAAAAGGAACAGTAAAGAAAGAAGTGACTTTTGTCCCAAAGCATATGCATAAACCTGTCAGATGAAAAGATTCAAGTCAGTTGCAAGATTTCAAATAAGAAGAAAACAAAGAAAAAGCCATGTAATAGAAGAGAGTTTACCTCAAACAAGCTTTCATATTTCTCATCAGCAAGAACATAGAGGATAATGTAAAGAACCTGTTGCATGACATTGTGATTACATTACAATAGAGTCAATTAAAAAAAGTGGACTACACAAGTAATGATGGTAGACAAAGTACCTCAGATCCAACACAGCAGAAGGCCATGAACATGCGGTTCCCATAGTATAATTTGAAAAGCCAATTAGTTGAGTCCTTTACATCCTTGTGGCTAGTTTTGCCAGATAAGAATGAACTGCAGTGGCATATTAACAAAAGCACAAGAACTTATTGATTCCCATAAATCAGTAGTGCTACACCAAAGATGAAACAGTACCTGTACATTTGCAGCCAATGACTTGCAATGTCCAACCCAAGCAATGCCAGGAAAATCAAGCCTGGCCTGCAGAAAAGTTAACAAGAAAATCAGCCATGCAGACAAGAGACATAATAGTTAGATATATATTTTTCATAAAAAAATAGTTAGATATATGCAAAGATGCAAGTACCTATACAATTGTGAGAGAACAGCCAGTAGACATGCAGTGCTAACCCTGAAGAATGACGAGAAACAAGAATAAGATAATTAGACATACATACAGAAGAAAACAGTTTATTCATTTTAAGTATACTTATCTAAGTAGAGAAGATTTTAGATTTTAAGCATTCATAGAAAAGAATGCCCAAAGGGCCTGTTAGAGAAGCACCTGTCAGTTACCATATCCAAAACAGCTCCAAAAGTTGACACTGGTTCACAAATCAGAATAAATTAGTAAATGAGTAGATATAACCATTTTCTGTTTTCTCAACAAATGCCATATTTATTATAGACTTCGAACCAGAATGTTCTGAATTGTGATAAGAGAAGTCACATGTATAGAAAACTAAATAAAAAATTTAATCAATGTTTGAAAGAAGAGGCAAACATTGAAAATCAGCAAAATACTTGTTACAGTAGCATGCGATACATGGAAAACTAGCGATGTTTCTCTATTTTTTAATAAGAAAGACAAGCTTTGATGTCTACACTGGCAAATATGAAACTTCCTTGAATTAGGGGAGGAAAAGAAAACTGTCTTGATCCATGGCAAGAAAAGCTTAGTTAATGAAGGTTGCTGACTTTGTCAATATAGTGAAACAAATGGAGGATGCTAAAATTGGAGCCAAGGAGGCAGTGACAGGTAGCATTGGGTACGGAATATAGTTTTCAGAAATTACCACATGTTATATATGGTTGAGCAAATGAAAACTGCTTTCTTGATCATTTAATTGGGAATCTGTCTCCTGGAGTCGGCTTGAAAATGGAGCTGTGAGAAGAACAGAAACACCTTTTTTCTCTTTTCACTACGTTCCATTGTTTCTTCATACTTTTTACCTCCATTTCATTTCTTTGTTTATTTTTTCTATTATTGTACGTATCAAATCACACCAGTATGCCATAGTGCTCAGATTGATGGCTAAAACACCACCAGCAACTCTAATGGCAATTCTTGGTGACAATACAGATGTTATGGTCAAGAAAGTGAAAATGGCATCAGAAAGACACAAAACTGATGTGACATTGCTGTTGTTTAATTAAGCAAACATTATGGGATAAATTTTTGGATCCAGTTGAGGAAAATGAGGTTTTAATAATACATTAAGATTTACTATACAATAATTGAAGTAAGCCATCTAAAGAAATTAGTAATAAAGATATGAGTTAATGTTGTGAAAGTACAAAATAGTTTAGAAGCACGACTTAACATCACTCATAATAATGCATCATGTATGATCATAAGAAACAATTTACCAATCTCATTAGTCGCTAGTGTCATAGTTGGGAAAATTAGTTACTTTTGTGGTGCCTTGTTGAACTTTAATCTCAAAACACCATTCATGACTATGCAGGTGGATGTCTTACCAAAGTATGATGGGAACTGTTAAAACAAAATCAAGAACTACAAGGCAGCTGTAGGAGTTATATAGTGAAGTACATAGAACATATCAGCTTTGGCAACAAAATCTAATTTCACCAAATAGGAGGAATTCCTAGTTACAATCATTTGATGTGGGTTATCACTTGGTTGCAAACAGCTGTTTCAATATTACTGAATAATAATAAAAGCTTCAATGATTTTGCTGCATAAATTGCTGTGCTATACATATTGGGAGGTCTATTTGCCAATGCCTATTGTGTTTTCTATGTATAGAAGCCTAAATGATTTTGCTGCTGCTTCCATTACTAGTCCTACACCAAAAGAATATCATTTCAGGCAACTCCATTGCAAACATGAAACTTTTCTTTATAAAAATAACCAATCTCGTTGCCAACATACATTAGCTTCTTTTCCAAAAGCTCAATTTCAACTCAATTGTCGTTCACATCTCATCCTTCCTTTTGCTCCATATATATTTTTGGTGTCAGATCTTTCTTTTCCTTATACAAATTAAGCTGAATTTGTTAGGTTATTTATCTGAAAACAATATGGACAAAACCATACCATTTTTCCATGACAGGATATCTGTTAGGTGTATGGCAAATCGACATAGCTTATTTGTTGCATCTATGTACATGCATGCATACACGAACATGGTTTGCCAGAAAAGTCAATCCCAATCAAATCAGTTGATAAAGTCAGTGCAGATTATGATCAAATTGGCCAGAGAAGGGTTAGGCTAATTATTTTTCAAGTGTAAAAGAAAACATTCCAAAAGGACTTCATATTTGATAACCTTGTTGAACCATGGAGTAAGAATGTGCTGATGCAGCTACTGTAAATGAAAAAGTTATAGGAAAAAAACTATCTTGATGGGATATTCTGAATCCTTTCTACCTTGATTGAACTTCCGAGCAAGCCAACCATCCAATGCGTCACAGCAAAAGCTGGAAAACAAAAGTGTAGTCAACTAATGACCAAAAATTTGTTGCAGTATAGTCTAAAGTCTAAACAATTGCAAATTAACATATAGGACAAAAGTTACCTAACAAAGTAGAGAATGGTAAAGAGAGTCTTCTGATAATAACAAAGAGCAAATGCCACACAATTCATGATGACTCTTATATATCCTGCAGAACAGAGAAATTTTCAAAGAAATCAAAATAATATGAAAGATTATCACATGAAAAATAAAAATAGTAGCATTACTTGTTAGTTGTTAGAATGACACACTGCACTGAAATATGCAGAGAATTAGCAAAGTAAGCAGAGCAAAACACATGCATGTGCTAGTCATTTGACTCATTTGTCTTAAAACAATCCATATCAGAGGAAACCTTTCCCTTGCTATGCTAATTATTGATGTCGTGCTGGGTCCCTCAAATTGACCAAACAAACCAAAATAAGGCCTACTCAATTAAAGGTCTACAAACCAGGTTCATATGGCCACTAGAAAGGCAAGCCAAACTACGACTAGTACTAGCCCCTTTGACTTGGCTCTGGTATGGCTCACCAGAAAGGCAGGCTAAACTAGTACTGGTACTGCTGATCAAGTGACTTGGCTCTAATGTTGACATGCTCAAGATTTAGGTTGAGCAATAGTCTGATTTCACATCTGTCAGAAAATCCTGTCTGGAGTTGGAAATGAAGATGAAGTCATCTTCATAATAGTAGTGGCATTATCTTAACTACTTTATAGGTAACATAACACAACTTGGACCTCAACTTTTATGTTAAAACTTAGAGTTCAAATCTCTGAAAGCATTTCTATAATTTGAGAAGAAAGTGCTTCCTCAACTAACTACAGAATTAAAATAATTAGCTAATTTCATACCAACAATAAAGGTGACAACATCCATGCATAAGCACTTAGACAGTCAAGAGAGAAAATTAATTTCCTTGACCCAATAAGACCTACTATAAGCAAAACCCAAAACTCTTTAAATATGATTGGTGAGACAACTTATATGGTTGTAGTATGGCATTCTGGTGCTGATGTTGGTATGAATTCAAAAATTGTATGGATTATCAGACATACTTTGTGATGTGCGCATGGCGTGGCCAACAATATAAGAATTGTTGCAAACCCATCATGATATCACTTGTCCATAAGTGTATAGGAAGAAACTCCATAGGGTGGCGATTGTGGCTGACATTGGAACTAAAGTGGTGTATAGGACCATAACATCTTTGTGTAGGTTTCCATGAACCCTGGAAAGATGAATAGTATTGGGAAGTGATTTCTTTTTGTCCCGTTACAGTACTTAATTATTAGAAGTGCTTGCTCTAACAGGTGTTTCTAATTCAAGGAGAAATCTTCCAAACTAACTACTATAGATTTAAACAAATAACTAACATTATTTTATTGCAAAACAGAGAAGAAAAATCTCCAAGCATGAGTTCTTAGACATACAAGCCTCGTGTATATTGTGGGCACGGGGGAGAATAACATCTCATCACCTTACTAGGTGAATACATTGCCATGACCACAGTTATAAATAACATCCCTACTTTCAGTTCTTCAGCCAGCTACAGTATCATATACATACTAATATATAATCACATAAGTTATAGCAATATTATGTTTGACCTCATTCAGTGTTTCTCACTAGCTTTATCAAGATTAGAAAACATCAAGCTTATATTCAACATAAGAATTTCATGCTTAATGATTAATTACAGCTAATTGGTCATATTAGAATGAAAGCATATTTGACTTCATGCTTAATGATTAATTACAACTAATGGGTCATATTAGAAAGAATGAGAGCATGTTTTCCTATTTCTTCATAGATTAACAACACATTTTCAAAAGTCAAATATTGGGATTCAAAAACTTACCTATAATATTGGGAATATAAAAATACACCGATACTGTCTTTTGATTTGATGGCTGTGCCATAGGAGCTTTCAAACTCAAAGGAACTTCAGTAAAGTGGAGAGATGATAGAACTGGCTACAGATCGTTTCCTCTGTCAAAAATTAACCAATGTCAATAGGTGAAATATTAATAAAAAAGGATGAAAATAAAGTGCATGTAAATAAGTGAATATAGACACATGCATGTTTATATAATTTTAAGTTCCATGACCAATAACTTTGAAGAATTTTAATGAAAAATGTTAACTCATCCTATCATTAGTGCATTCCATTTCCAACCTTAAATATACCATTAGAGCTGCAAGAGCATTTACCTAGAATGCATAATCTCTAGAGATAAAGTTATTGTTATGGATGGTTTTACAGAAAATAAAGCCCATTTGCTCCAAAAGATCAGTTTTATTGATATCAATGTTGTCAAAACTGCTAGGCACAATAAGGCACCAAGGTCCATTGTCATCCAATGCCCTAGGAACTCACCTGAGCAAACCATGCTTACCTTACAAAAGCAAGACCCAAATTTGGCCAAAGAGAGATGAGAGGGCAAGAAGAGGGAGGGAAAAGGAAAGGCAAAAAAAGAGGGAAGGGAGAATGGGGGAGGGAGGTGCTGGTCAGGCATAGAGAAGATGTAAAGAGAGTAAAAGGTAAGATATAAACATGGCAGCGATAATGGTAGAGCACCCCTAGAGGTGACCTTGCGGCCAAAATATTGAAACCCTAATAAGTTTATGATCAAATATTACAAACTAGCTTAATGTAGTCATTATAGAGAAACAAAAAGATTCAAACTTAAAAGGCTATTTGAGTTGCTAATTTTTCCAAATGAACTAAATGTGAGCAATGATCTGATCGAAATCTTAATAAATGACTTGTGAGATTATCAGCCATGTGAACATGACACAACCTCTTGATGTGTGGTAGCCCGTCATCTTCCTAACAACTGTTCACCGAGGACCTTGTGGCCACCCAGGCTTAAAGCAACCAAGAAGTCAGCACTCTCCATTCTCTCTCCCTCTCTCTCTCTCCAAGCCTGAAAGATAATGTGGTTGAGTTCATAAAAGGAATGGAAAAACTATGGCATAAGTTCAACCACCAAAATAAGGAAATTTTTGTGGGTACTAGTGTTGCTCGTGTGCTATGTATTCAGGATATTGTTGTAAGTGCTGCACAACCACTTCATGTCAGGATGTTGTTATGAGTGCTGCAAACATGATGGTTGTTCAGTATCTGTATGTCAAGATTGCAAATTGTGAAGATGTTCTGCTCCAGTCAACTCTAGTTAAGCTGGTCGTTGCTTCGAGTTCCACTCTTCACTGTCTGATTTGGGCATTACAGGGGACTCCGCCTAAGGTAACCTCAACCCTACATCAACGGTGTTTATCTTGTAGGTCCTTCACCCTCAGGCAGTCAAAAGACACCGACCAACCTTTGCCAAATATAAAAAAAAAAAGAAATAGACCCAACCATTGTCACACAGAAAGCAGAATCAATTCTTCTCCAAAGTCCGGCTTCATCTAAGCAATTATTTGGAAAAGTTTAACGAGATTAGCCTCATATGCTTACTAAAAATTCCTGGAACCGAGCAGGATACAAACTACTAAAATCTCCAGTCAGCGAGGCAGGACAAACGAAACCAATCACCTCCTTGAATGCTTAGCCTCGTATAAATAAGTACAATCCTACGCATCATATTCCACTACCAGAACAACGAAGACAGAGAACCATGAAATCCCACTTGCTCTTATGACCCAGCTTACCTCCGCCTCCAAGTAATGCTCAAAAACATGATTTTTCATTGAGACACAAGAAAAAAGAAAGAAAAATATGATTCGATCCGATAAATCGGAGAGAAGAATAAGAAGGTACAACGAAAGATTCAATGGAAAAGGCCCCAAAAGAAAGGGGAAAACGTGGAGGGCTTCGTGTTACCTTCGGCGACCGCGATGGTTGGGAACGACGAAGAGAGTCGACCGAGAGAAGGAGAGGCACAAGAACTGGGCCGGCGATGGTAGCGGGGAAGGCAAGCGAGAAGATACGCAGTCGGTGGGCAGCAGATATAGCCTTTCCCTCCTTTACTATCGAGAATTGATTCGATCCGATCTGCTCGTCGAGAGATTTCGCCAAAAGAAGACGACTCCCAATTAATATAAAAGAGAGAAAGAAACACTAAAAACAATAAACTCTCTAATAAACGAGAATTCGTAGCCAAAGGAAACTCTTAACTATCTAATCATCCACCTGCGGCGCCACGCGGTTGATCGCCTAACAGTTACGTGCCGGAAAATGATTGGATATTACATCAGGACCCACTCTTTCGTCCTATTGCCAAGCGGATAAGAATGGGGGTTGATGTGTAAAAGTGGTGACCAACTGGGACCCATGGAAAACAAATTAGCATTTAAACTCTTTATCTTTACCTGACTACAGAAAAGAATAAACTTTTATATCCCCTATATTATTGTTGCTTATGGAGTCAGATATATTAGAGCGAAAAATATAAAGCTTATATATTATTGTTAAATTGTTTATTTTTCTTTTTTTTTGTTATTATCTAATTTTTCCTTAAGTATTGCTACAAAGCTGTAAACAAAGACAAGTTGATTTATATTTTTGTTATTTTTAATACAAATTATTCTTAGTTTATCGACCCCAAGCTTCATAATTTGAAGTAACCTCCTATACATGTTCTTATTAATACTTGACATAATTAATGCTAATAAGTAATTGGTATTGGTTTATTTTGCTGTATTAGTGTTAGAAGTTGAGATGGAGCTGCTATTGCTATTAGGGAGTATATTTAATATCTCATATAAACAATAGGTAAGCAAATTTTGAGAAGAAAACAACTTCATTAAGCTAAATGTTGCTTCTCACTCTGTTAGCTTTGCTGTTAACAATCATAGCTTTGAACATGAACATGTACATCAGTCTTTTGCAACTGGAAATGGTTGGCAATGTGATGTGACTCTAAACTCTCTACATCCAGCTATGTGAAGCATTTGCTTGCCAATTAGTTTGGTGAGATCTCACAGAGGTAAGGAGGAGACTCCCATGCCAAGTTGAGCTCCCCGGAAATGGTTGGCAGCAGGCTGAAGCCCCACTGACTGTTCTCAAGACTGCATATTTTACCTTCTTCTCCGTTTGCCAGACTTGCTGTGCTTCTCATGGGCTGTTGTCCGAAGTCTATGCTCGTCAAGGGTTCCTCAACGTCACCCACAATCGATGGTGATGCATTGAGAAGCATCGAGGCGACGTCCATGGCGGACTTGGATGGTATTTGCATGTGTTCTGGGGAGAACATGAAGCTGGTGGGTGCAACTTGTGCATTGGGAAGCTCCGGCTTGTAGCAGGAGGATTCAAGTGGATGACGGAGCATCTCTGAGCTCAGCTGGGTGCTTTGTGCAGTCCTTAAGATGGAGAACAGGTCTGCTGCTCCATTGGGATCGGGCACAGGGGACACCCAGGAAGGAGGCGGTGCTGCTCTATGTGCCACGGTGTTAGGCTTCTTGAATATCCTACATATTGTCCATGAATCCTGTTCATGAAGCGAAACAATATCTCAGTTGTTAGAATAGAATGGAAGATAATTACTCCAAAAATGAGAAATGAACTGTAGTTCTCACGTTGATCGAAATATTTTTATGAGCAAGGGAAGGTAGTCTGAACTCATGCATCATCCATTCTGTTTTGATCCCTTTGGCAGCTCTGCCTCTGTAGAAAACGAGCGATTTCTTGAGACCTATGCACTTATTTCCTTCAGAAGAGTAGATTGGCCTGTCCGTGCCTGTGGCCTTCCAGAATCCAGCTCCTGTGACTCTGTTCGGCCTTGCACTGTTCTTGTACTTTCGATCCCTCGGGCAGTAGAAGTACCATTCCTTTTCTCCTGTTGTCGTCGCCAGCTCTTCTCGGTTGCAAGAGAAGGAGAGAGAACAGTTTGGTAAGTAAATGGAAGATGATAAGAGAACCTGTTCTTAACATGCACAGGCAAATAGAAGCAGCTTACCTGGAAGATCCCATGGATCATATTTGTAGATGTCGAGCTGCCTGATAAGTTCAATAGATGGAGGTTTCTGCTGGATCTTCCTGTTCAAGTAGAAGCCTACTAACTCTTCATCTGTGGGGTGAAACCTAAACCCTGGCAGCATAATGTCATCTCCCTTCTCCATATCACTTCTCTCATCCATGACCCCTACAGACTCTTCACTGTGAAAAAGCTTCGGATACTAATCTGAAGAAGACCGAGAGAAGCAAATCTGAAGCTGAACTACAAGAAACCTTTCCAAGATCAAAAAGCTTAAGATGTCTGGTCGAATGAGAGAGAAGCTTAAGCAGTGAGTGGTCTTATAATCACAATCCAGCTGTTTACAATGAGTCCATAGCAGTGAATACATTATTGACCGAAAAGACTTCGCCTTTCTCCCTCCTTGAACTCATTAGGTTTGTTTAGTTCATAAGATGGGCATCCCAAAAAGACTACAAATCTAGCAGCATAGGGGATCATCAATCCTTTTCCTTTCACACATACAATACTCGTCACACGCATCCTTGAGCACACCAAGAGAAGGATAACTTCAAGACAAGTCCATTGTTTATCCTTTTTCTTGGGTTATTCACGCCGAGCTAACTCTTTCCAACACGTTAGAAGCTTCGGATACTAATATTCATTCCCAATTGTCACTGCAAATTCTTCTCTTCGGTCTCTCCTGATCCAAAAATCCCATCTCATTCAGATATGTACCCTTTGTTTGTCAGCACATGTTTTGGGATCTTTCAGGCCTGATGAAACAAATCTGCAGCTTGTAATGCTGTTCCACTTTCACACAGTGTAAGCTGGCTTTTGGCAAGATGAAGTTAAGTATACTGGATGAATAATCTTAGGTGTAATTTGATAACCAAGTTCCAGTAACCTTGAAGATTGATTTAGTTTTAGTGGTGGGGAAGATTGAAATCAAGCTTAGGTCACAGTGCATGCATTATAATGGGCATAAGAACAAAAGTTTGGACGTGTGAGCAGAAGTCCATGACCAGGATTTGCTAACCGTGTCTACCAAAGAGGTTGCAGGTTGGGAAGCCCCCTATTTAATGAAGTGTTTGGAAGTCAAGCCATTGGCATTTCTTCCCAAGTGTGGCCCCTCGGTTTGGACCAATCTTGTCTGTTGACCTTTGGTTGCAAACCCAAGTCAAAAGAAATTGGAACCAAACACTTCAAACACAAGCTTCTCTCTTCTTGGTATTTGCACCCTTTATCTTCTTCCTCAATGCTCCCCGTTGCACCAACTTCACGTTTAATTCTTCCTTCTTTGTGAACGAACCATCATTAAATTATCATCTAATTCTTCTTTATGATTATTGAGATATTTCATTCCTAATATCTATGTTCGAGTTGACTTGAAATTTGATCACGCTAATCACAGAGGAGCAACGCTCTCTGTTTAATTGCCAAGCTCAGAACAAATGACAAGTCATTAGATTAGTACGATTTGTACATGAAGACGTTGCTTAGTAGTGATGTTGGGTATTAAACATGTTTAGCAAATCGAGTTGTTATAAATGGTGTTTGATGGCAGGAAACTTGCATTGTAAGCATTGGGTGCAGGTTGACCGGAAGTCCCAAAGTCATTGACTGAAGGCAGAAACAATAACCCCATTCAAATATACAACCAAGCATAAAATGATCCTTCACACAGCATGTGACCAAATGGCAATATGTATCCTAGATGATAAAATATAGTCACATCATAATAATTATATGATGATCAAGCCAGTTTATGTGGAAGCTGGTGAAGAATATGAAAAGTAAATTTTATTTAGGTTCATGTTATGAAATACAAAAGGTGCTAAAATAATAGCGCAGCAGTGAAATCTTACTGCCACTAACTTTGCACAACCACAGTTACATTGGTAGGATTTCAACTTGCCAACCATTAAGCATCTTGCTGCTGTGTTCATCATAGTAATTCCTTGGTTGATGGTGATTGCTTTTGAGAGCTCATGCATCAGGTGCAATGCTGATCCCAAATATGAGCTCAAGATATCTTGTTGAGTCCTTGATGTAATGGGGGTGAGCAATCATCAAGCTTAAGCTTGCTTTCATCTGCTTGATGAGCAAATGAGTAATGTTCAAAGCATGAGAGGCCAACAACTGTGATGCCCACCTACCAATAATCATCACATGAACATCCACCTCCTCTGAAATGGTGGAATCGACTGCGATCCCTAATTATCACCAGCCTGTCGTATACTGCAGACAAAATTTTTGCAAAAGTGTGGCAATCGATGCAAGTTCGGAGGTTCTTTGCAATCCTGATTGTTCTTCCTGGTGGGGTTGCAAGAATACCAAATGCAATAGCCAACTTCTCACTGTGACAAGAGAGTGCATTCTCTTTCTCCTCATCATCCATTCTGTGCAGTTCAGATGACACGTTTGGAACATAACCAGCAATCTTCAACTGGCTATTTATCTCATCAAGCATCCGGTAAATCTCTGCTTTTCGTGGATGTGAATCATCGTCGACGGTGAACTCATGAACCACTCCATTTATCTCTGTTGTGCTGCAGCCGGGGCTTGTCTGGATTCCCTTATCCTTCATCAACTTCCTTACTTCTGCCACCTTCTCCCAGTTGCCTGCAGATGCATAAGTATTCAGCAACAGGACATAATCTCCAGCTTGCTGTGCTTTTAACTCGATCAGGTGCCCAATTACGTGTTCTCCTAGCTGAGCATGGCCATGAATCCTACAGGCTCCAAGAAGAGTCCTCCAAGTAGTGGAATCTAGCTCAACAGCCTTCTCTTTCGCTATAAGCTCATAGGCCTGATTGAGCAAACCGGCACGGCCCAAAAGGTCGACCATGCACCCAAAATGACGCGCATTGGCGGCAATTCCATACTTGTCTCTCATCATATCGAAGAACCTTAATCCCTGATCAACCAATCCACTATGGCTACAAGCCGACAGCACGCCGGTAAAGGTGTGCTCGTCGGGAGTAACACCAGCATTCAGCATAGCACCAAAAGCTTCAACAGCTTCCCTCCCGTACCCGTTCATGGCCAACCCCGAAATCATGGCGCTCCAGCTGACAACATTCTTCTGAGAAGTATCAGAAAACACCGTGTAAGCTTTGTCCAAGCTTCCGCACTTTGAGTACATCGCTATGAGTGAATTCCGTAGGTTCAAAGCACGGTCATAACCTTCTCGCGCGGCGTACTCGTGGACGCGCTCGCCGAAATCAAGCGCACTCAGTTGCGCGCACGCCTGAAGCAGAAGCAGGCAGGTGACATTATCCGGCTTGCATCCGTGATCCGGTCGCTGCATCACGTCAAACAGGTGCAGCGCATCTTTGCTCCGACGATTCTGCGAGTAGCAAGAAATTAAGACGTTCCACGTGACGGTATCTCTAAAAGGCATTTCATCGAAAACGCGGTGAGCACCCTCGCAATCCCCGCAAGAAGCATACAGTCCCATCAGAGAAGTCAGCAGAACGGAGTCGCACTGATGCCCATCGCGGAGGACCCTACCGTGCACCTGCTTGCCACCGGACAAGAAGCAGATGCTGGTGCACGACTTGAGAAGAAAGGAAGCGGAGAAGGGGTTGCCACGGACGCCGAGGTGTCGCCGCATGCGGTTGTAGAAGCGCAAGGCCTCGGCGGGGGAGCCGCTCTCGGCGTATCCGCGCAGGAGCGCGTTGCAGTGGAACACAGAGGGGCGCGGGATCCGCTCGAAGACGAGGCGCGAGTAGCCCAGGTCGCGCAGGGGGGCGAGCGCGGCGCGGGACAAGAAGGCTGTGGAGATGGTGGGGTCGTGGACGAGGTCGGAGCGGAGGAGACGGGCGTGGATTTGGAGGAGGTGGGCTTTGGTGGAGCAGGATCTTATCAGAGGAATGCAATCCCCGGAGGGCGGCGACGGGGAGTCGTGCTCGAGCAGGTTGTCGGGCGACGAGGTGTTCGAGCGATGGCAATGGAGGAGACGGGGAATAAGAACAGGGGCGATGTGGGGGAGAGAACGGAGAGTGGCATTGGGTCGTAACATACGAGCCGAAGCCATGAAAGGCGAGCAAGCGGGCTTGGAAACGCTTGTAGTGTGGGTCAAATAGGCAACATGGCTTATTGTACCATTTGAGTTTAATATATGTTGGGCCTCATTCTCCTCTAACAACTAAAACCTGTGATGGCTTCTGATAATTTAAAATATTTACCATGGTAATAGAGGAAGTCATGTGTTCTGATGATTATATTTGTATTCTCTTTATTTCATCGAGTGAGTGATTAGTTAGTCTATGTGCAATGTTTATTTTTTAATTGAATTTACACCATATGTTTGGAGTTCAATTTTAGAGTCATTTGATTTTGATAATGGATCTCTTAAAACTTTATGATTTATTCTGTGTCTAAAATAATTTTTATATTTTTAAAAATATTATATATATATGTATATATATATATGTATATATATATATCCTTTCATGTGAGTTAATAGACGTTAGAATTTACTTATGTGATACGTTGAATCATAATAAAATATTAATATTATGATATATATAATTTAAGTTTAAAAAGTAAACGAAACCTCCATTAATAACAAGAGGAGATATCGGAGGCGGAGGCAATGGCCGAAGAGGAGCCGATGAAATGCTTGGTGGTCGAGACGCTGGAGACAAGAGGTGATTGATGATGGCAGGAGCGCCGAGGTGGTAGGCTTCGATGAAGCGGTCAAGGGAGGGGACGGTGCCATGGAGGGCAGAATGGAGGGTGCAAAATTGAGCGATGAATTTGAGGCACACGACCTTGCACTCGACAGACGAGACGAGGTCGCGGACGTACGCCTTCTCTAGCTTGTTCGTGGTCTTGATGATGGCGTACAGGTTAGCGAAGCTGTTGTACATCTCTTGCTCTCGCTTGTCCTGCCATAATTTCATCTTCTCATTGCTGATCTCTCTTCCTCTTTCCACTCTATTCCTCCTTCCTCTTCTTCTTTGGATGGATTGATGGAAGAGGACGTCGATTAGATAGCAATAGAATTAGGCAAGAAAGAGAGACAGGGAAGAAAGAAAATAGAAAGGGGGCAAGGAAATGGCATCAACGAAATGAGATGCATGTAGTAGTCTCCTTGTCTACTTTCTTTTTCCTAAGGTAGGATTGGAAGCAATAGTAGGTTACGTACATACAATAAGCAATAGTAGTTTGATACTGTTGTTGGTGGTCACTTCCACGATGATGCCTCATCTCGTTATTAATAGAGGTCTAAGTTTTTATTTAAATCTTAAATTATATCTGTTATTATATTAATTATTTATTATGAGTTAGTATGCTATATAAGCAAATTTTAAGGTCTATTAACTCAAATTGGACGGAAGGATCTTATATACTATATTTTTAAAAATATAAGGGTTATTTTAGACAAGAGTAAATCATAAAAACTTATGAGGTGCCTGACCAAAATCATAAGGGGTAAAATAGATCTTAACCATATATTATATGTCTTCTCCTAATAGTTTAAACTTTTTTTAGGACTAAATTCAATTAAAAATCCCTATAACTATTTCATCAACATTATTATATCCCTTACGTTAGAATGAAAATAATTCGTTGATCGGAGTCAAGTCAACCTAACCTACTTCCCAAAGGTTTTGCACGTCTGGATCTTCAAGACGCTAAGAAGTCTAAAGTATCAGTCAAGTAAAAAAGAATGAACCTCATACATACATGAGATGTAAGAACTTTTAGAGTGGTAAGAAAAATATTTCAAATAATATTTACCGCTCATGCTTCTATTGACGACTATGCTCGACATGTTAGATACATGATTCGCTAAAATATTACTCATATATAAGATATTATTTCAAATGTCAAGGAGATTTCTTTTATATATAAGCAGAAGTTAGCTAGACTACTATGTTGAGCTCCACAATGAATCAGGCTTTGATGATCGTCGATATCCTCAAAGACAATCTCCTCCCCATGCAAAATTATGAATGTTGTTTGGATATTTCACACTTAATGTTTGCTATGAAAGATTGTAAGATATCATATATATTCCATAAAAAAAAAATCATATGACTAATTAGTTGGTCGCTCATGTTTGATCTTTGGAAGAATTTATTTTCTCTAAAATTAATTATTTTGATTGTTTGCTTTCGATTTCATCGGTAAAGTTTTTTAACTTTCTTTTTGCACAAAAAAAGATTATTCACTTGAGAAAATTCTTAATAATGTTTTTCTTTTACTATATATATGTTAAAAAGAAAAAAAAATTATAATCGTATTGCCACCGTCGATCCTTCCTACGTTCCAAAGAAAATAGATCACTCGGACGAGTCGACGCGAGGACGGACAATGGAACGTGAACACCGGTGTCCAACTTCTCCATCTCCATGAACCCTAACTTGACTCCATCCATTGCGGTCCCTCGTCCTCTTCGCTATATGCCAAATGCCATTCCCAC